TAACAATTAAAATAAAAGTCTAAAAATTTTAAAATTACCTAAAATAGTAACTATGACTAAAAATATAACATAAAGAAAACTATTTGAAAAAAATAAATAAACGATGCACCTTTGATTTAAACTACGCAGTTCGAATGAGTAAACAGAAATTTTTAAAACAGGTATTTGAAAGAAACCATGCAACTTAAAGAATTAAAATGAAATTCGAAAAAGAAAAAAATTGCTTAAAATTAATGACAATTACAATTAAAATATAATATAAAGAACATTATTTGAAAGAAGGAACAATTGCATCTTTTTTTCGTCTCACGCACTATGTAAAAATGGAAATGAAAATAGGTTGCCACATATTAAGTTCACCAAGTGAACTAATTTTGGCGCAACTGAATAAAAAGCACCAACATAAATTGTTTAATTTCTCCATAAATTTCGCACCAAATTTTACAAAATTTAATATTTAGGCATAATTTGAGTCGTAGAATTGAAATACGGAAAAAAATTGGTATGTTATTTCAGAAAAAGTCTGATTTTGTGTCAAAATAACTAAGTAGCACTTTCGAGACATGAAGAACGCAATTTGAATTTCTTCAATCAACCCAGTAGAATGGGAGATACAGAACTGTCCCATTTTTTTTTAGCAGTGTACATATATGTGTGTGTATACACATACATACATTTCTGAATCTCGTTCCAATACGAAAAGTACCATAAATTCTCCATATTATACCTATTAACCTAAAATTAAAATTTGGATTTACATTTCTTTCAATTTTATCACTGATCAAAAATATTTTTTATCATGCCATGTGGGGTGCATAATTCAGAGAGACCAAGTGAGTTTAAACAGAGGAAAGCCAAAGAGAAAATTGAAGCACTGAATACATTTCCTGGATCTATGCTTCACTATGTTAAAAATATAGACAATAATCAGAGTTCATCGAATAACACTGTTCTTCAATTTCCAAATAATGTAATATTTTAACATTCTTTCTATTTCTAACATGCATGTTACACACACGCACACACACACACAAAAAAAAAAAAAAAAAAAAAAAAAAAAAAGAAGAAGAAAAAACTTGTAAATGATTAAATTTGAAAAAGATGAGAATCTTGAAAGTAATGTAAATTAAGTCATGGTGATGCTACATATGAAATGGTTATTAAAGAGAAAGATTTACAAATTTTACATGATGTTTTTTTCTGGAAGGTACTGGTTCTAGATAATTTTTTAATTAAAATAATCAAAAGAGGAAGTATTTCATATCAAAACAAAGATGAGTCACTTCAAGTTATAACAAAGCAAGATGCAAACACAAGAGGAAATTTATGAAAACTTTTAAAAGACTGGTTTCATAAAGTAATGCCAATTGGACAAAAAATTATTTGATTGTGGATGATTTATTTATTCACCGATCAGTGAAAATTGGCACTGTTTTTGTTGCTCATTATTCACTATCATTACACTAAGTACAGCATTCAAATTTGTAACTGGATTTAAAAAATGGGGTAAATTTAGTCCTAAAGTACACAACCTGAGAAGTGGAAAACACTAGAAGTGAGTCTGAGCTAAACAAAACCACTGATGATGAAAATATTGCTAATATGGAAATTGAGAAGAAAATGTGGAAAGATATCTTATATGCATAGCTTACTACATTGTTTCTTGCTAAGCAGAAATTAGCCATAGCAAAGATGAGTCTTTATCTAATAAGGAAAATTTTCTTGAAATAGGAGAAATGCTGTCAAAATATGATCAGATATTATTGAAAGAACACCAAATGAGATTAAAGAGTAGTACATGTAAGCTTAAACATTTAGTCTCATATCTAACATCGAAAACTCAAAATGAATTCATCAGTTTCCTAGCATATCACGCGAAGGAAGAACTTACCAAAGACAAAATCTGTACCATACGCTAAGATAATGTTCAACAGTACACCAGCAATATCACTTGTTAGATATATAAAAATTAACAACAGAAGAACTGATGACAGAAGTATCTTTAGAACTTTTGGTTGATCTTTACAATATAATAACTGGTAGTTTGGCGACATTTTGGAGGCGATAAAGGTTACTACCTGGGACTTTGGTAATAATGCGAGCAGTACTCAGTTTCGATTGCGCATTATTTTGTGTGGGGGAAATGAGAGATCATGGGATATGTCATGTGATATTAATGGACGAATTACGGTTCTTTAATCGGAAAAGGGGGGAATTAGGACAAGTATCTGTGGATGTATATTATTTTGTATTAAGCTTCATTGTGTGTTGTGTGAAGTAGGGTTGAATAATTTTGGGATTGTATGGCGCTGTCTAAAGTGAATTGTAGATGTGATAAAGAGAATTTTTTTTTATCAAATTCGGAAAAAAAATCGTTCAGTAATTTTATTGAATCCATAATAAAAGTGTATCCACCATGTAAGGAAGATTAGGTTAGTTAGACTTTGTTAAGAATGTGAGTAGTATTCAGTTCTGATTACACATTATTTTGTGTGAGGGAAATGAGAGATCATGGGATATGTTATGTGATATTAGTGGTCGAATTACTGTTCTTTAATCGGGAAAAAATCTGGCAATTTTGTATTTGGCTTTATTCTGTGTTGTGTGAAATAGTGTTTGTGAATTTTTGGATCCCATGGCCGTAACTAAAGTGAATTCGAAATGGGTATTTAGTGGTATTGAAAAGGATAGTAATAAATGTTTTTTAAGGTTGTGTGAGAGAGAAATAAAGATGTTTTATTATGTTATTTATTTTACCTGGTATCTTGCTTTGAAAGATAAGTATGATTTTAAAGATTCTGAAACAGAAGTAAGAAAAGTGTATCCGCCACGTAATCAAGATTCTGAAGAAGATTAGGTAAGTTAGTATTTTTAATTATTTGAGGATATTATTTTTATGCATTGTTGTAAATGTAAGGTGGAAAGGAATTTGGTATTATTGGGAAAATTGTTATTAGCAATGATTTAGTTTAAAGTAATTAGGATTGTAAGGTAATTTTTATTAATTTAATGTATGTGCTCATTTATATTTTAAGTAGTGTTTTTGAATTTAATTATATTTTAATGAAATGATAGTTATTTCGTGAATTTTATGTTTGTAGGAATTTGGTATACGTTTAAGTTGAAATAAACGTGCATGGAAATAATTTAAATATTTGATACTAAGTATTTGTAATGCTTGCGGTATGAATTCGTTGGTGACGTGTATAATGTAATAGATGATTTAGAGGTAAAAGTTTTTGGATATTTTATTTATTTTATATGTGGAAATGTTCATATTTGTAAAGGGTAAATACTTTTTCGCGATCAGGTAATTTCATATATGTTCTTTTTACCGGGTTTAAAGATTGAGAAAATTGTCATGTATTTTCGTGAAATTTTTGTAATTTATGAGAAAAAAGCAGTGTACATGGATATAGTGAAGAGTGTGCGCAATGCCATTTTTGTGCAATTCTGGGATGTTTTTTTAAGTAAAAATAAGTCGGCGTGTACATGGTTTATGTGTATGTGTTAGTTTGATAAATGCGTAAGGAGAATGGTATTGTGCAGTTTTTCCTAATTTTGCAGTGAATATTTGTCATGATTAAGCAGTTTTGTTTGATAAAATTTCTAGCATAAGTGTAATTCGGCTAGTAGATTGTTGGAAGAAGTGTTCAGGAGATAAAAAGAAAAGAAACATGTCTTTACTTCGTGAAGACAAAATGGCGGCGGGGAAAAAAAATGGAGGGTTGCTGTAGGAGAGTTGGTCGGCAAATTTTCGCCAAAAAATCGCCAAGTTACCATAATGTAAAGATCAACCAAACTTTTTCATTTAAAAGGAAAAGAAGCTATTGATCATAGTTCTGAATTAATTAGGAAATTGGAAAGTGATGGATTGAACATAATGATGTGCCATTTTCATAGCTAAGTTAATGCTGTGACTATGGATGAAGTACAAGGAGAGGTACAACTTATTAAGACAAAAAATACCCCAAAAATATAAAAATAATAAAAAAGCTATTTTTAATGGATATGAGGATCATTCGCTTAATTTGTGCAATCAGCCCTCTTTTGCAGAAAATGCATCCTGTGCAAAATTTTTTGGAGTACTTGTATAAATATATTCTTTTCTTACTACTTCCAACCATCGATAGGATTGTTAATTAGACTTACTGAATTATCATTAAAAGGACTATCAATAAGACACTGGAGTGCTCATTATGCTGCAGTTAAGGCAGTAAAAGAACATTTTAATAAGTTTATGCTGAAACTCTGAAATTCTTTGTAATGCAAATGAAAATTTAAAGCACAAGAGGATCAGGCCAATATTAAAAACTGAAGCTAAAAGCAGTACCTGATTAAAAAACTGGAACATTCCCAGTTGTCTTTTTTATGAGAAATATTCATTTTGAAGAACGTTTTGAGTAATATGATGGGTACAACAGTGGGGTAAAGATAACGAACATCTTTTGAAATGAAGTCATGTAACTGCATTGATATTTTAGATGTTATAAGCAGGCTTTTGAGTAGTAGCTCCATGAGTACAACATCCTGTTACAATATTTTGTATGCTTTCATGGTAGATATCTCCAACAGGACGCAAAATTTCTAAGTGTACACTGCTTAGTACAAACTGAATGCACAGTATATGCAAATGTTAGGTACTTGTGTACTGCTACCAAAATACTGCCTAGACATACAAATTTTTTATCAAAACCCACATGAACCAGCTTTACAAAAACTTATTTTGTCATCATACGTCAACCTTGCATTATGAGAGAAATTCATTCACATTCCTTTCTGACTTTCTTATATATATATCACTAAATTTATATATACGATTATACCAAATTTAAATAATGCAATAAATTTAAAACAAGCATGCATATTACAAACTTAATATTTCAGATTATAATTATGCTTATTATTCCATTATTCTGGGAACATGAACAAAATAAAAAATATATATATTAAAAAATCTGAAAATTTTTGGTCAAATATTATAAAAAAATTTAACTTACGATTTTTTAAGAAATTGGATAGCTCCGACAGATTGAATTTCCTTATATTTACTTCTGGCTCACTATAATATAAGTTTTTACCAGTACCATAACAAACAGTTTTAAGATGACTAGATGGATGAGAGAGATCAACTTTGAGAGCAGTGTTTGATTTAATGTCTTTAGGCAAGCTATTATAAACAGGAGAATCACTATCGGAAACACACGTCTTAGTATTTACACCTGTTACTTGAATAATATTACAGCATTTTCCTGCAGTCTCTGAATCATTATGTCTACCTGGAATCTCATCACAAATGGAAGTTTCAAATGACGAACATGAAGTTTTTTCAACACTCATATCAAGTACTTCCTCTATACCAAATCCAAAAGAAACATTGCATGCATTAGATTCTAACGGCATATTATCCATAATGACAGGAGGAATATCAGAATTCTTCAATTTTTGCCGATTGCTGGAGGTATGTGATTTAGAACAAGAACAATTTTTACGCGATGGACACAAACATACATTACATGCACCTTTATTGAATTCTTCCTTTTGATTTGCTTTCACCTTAGCATTGTCGATTTTGAGGGTTTCAGGAATACTGACAGTTTCTGGCTCGGTTTGAGTATTTATTTCTCTTGTTGATCTAGTAAACGACCTCACTTTTATTTCGGAAGTATTAGAATCACCTTCTTTTTCAACAGTCACTACACGGTAAGCTCCTTTATTATTCAGAGATGCGAGATCCCGCATATCATCTTTCCGTTTACCATAGCCACCTGAGGTAGAATTCTCAGTCCTCCTGATTTCATATTCATTGGATTGCTGTTTAAAAGTAGAAGTCTGTTGTGCACTATAAGTGATAATACATGGAGAGGGAGCACTAATTTTTGATATGGGCATTCGAGCAATATCAGCGTATGAAGCCTGAGGAGTTGACGAGGAAGAAGAAGGAGTAGTATGCGGATGTGGTTGCGTCGGATGTGGAACAGATCCTCGCACTGGAAGAGAATGGACACTATCTAAGTCAGAATTGTCGGCTGAAGAATGCTCCGAATGCGGCACACTACTTGTAGATTTACGACGAGAATCTTGTTTGCCACACTTACTTTCAGCTAATGACAGCATCATTCCTTTCTTACGTTGAGTCTGTGCAGTACGCCACCTGTATGAATCTGAGCGTTTGCTCTGATGTTTCTTACGCTGCTTTTTCTTAACTATATGAAATCCTGATTCCTCAACAGTTTGAGAAGAAACATCAGCAGTTGAATAGAAATCAGCAGCAAAACTTGAAACTTCAGGAACACTGTCTTCCATGTTTACAGCCTGGTTATTTGATTCATATATACCTGTATCCTTTTTATCAGAAGTATCTAAGAACTGATTTTCTACATTGCTATTTATATCAAGATTTTTTACAACTGCATTTTCAAGATGAGCAGCTTTAGGATCTTTAGTAGATACATCCATAATTTGAACATTTGTTTGAGCTGAGAAGACAACTGCATCATTATTTATATTATTTTGGTTCAAATCCTCTAAAGAATTAGACCGAGATAGTTTTTTCTTATCACCATTAACAGCATTTTTTTGACAATTTTTTATTTCTTTTCCAAAGGTTTTCTTTTTTTCTTGATCATGATTCATGCTGCTTTTATTTGATATTACATGATTCTGAGAACCACCCTTTATTGGTGTTTTACTTTTTTTATCCGATGAATTTATATATTGAACCAAGCTGTCTAAATCTTCATTCCCCCGATGACCTTCAATATTTTCTGATAAAACACCTTTGTTCACAGAATTCCTCTGCCTCTTATTTTTACGATTATTTTTGCTTTCTGCCACTAAAGTACTGTTGTTATAATCTAATAAAGTGGTTGACACAAATGATGCAAGACTCGAAGGACGTGAGGCTCTAGAAAATGGATTGCCATTGATGTCAGTATTCAACAGCTGTTTTTCATCTAAAAAAGAAAAAAATATTTTAAAGAAAATGATACATTTACAGAATAAATTAGGTACAGAAAGAAAGAAAACAACTTTAGAATTCATACTTCTAGTCGAAAAAGGATCAGTTTCCATTGGTAAAGAGCTAAAGAACGACTGCACTTGAAGCGGGCGAGACCATGGAGAAAGTGGGTAATTCACTTGCCGTTTCATTTGTTCACTTATTGATTCAGAAGAATTGGGTTGATCATCAATACTAGAAACTAACTGCAAAGCAAAAAAATATAAATGATATGATTTAGCACTAAATACAATAACTAACATGTTATAGTAATTAAGTATATTATATACATACAAGAAGTCTCGATTCAAGTTCTAAAAAAAAGAAAAACATAAAAAAACCCTTGAAAATTATTTTCATTGCAACTTTTAACTCTTTCAGTTCTAATGGGCACACACATCCCAGAGATTAGATTTCATGGCCTATTGGGTAAATAAAGCCCACTTTTAAATGGGTTTTTAATGCTTGCAGTGTTTTTAAGGAATTAGGGAACAAATATATGACTAGAGAAATCTGGCAACATTTTTAACTTGCAAATGGCACACTTATGTTTTTGAGCAAGCCGATTACTTAAATTTAAATTTCTCCATCTTTTTTTAAGCATGCTTAGTATGAAATAGTTCTTATTAAGTAGCAATTTAACTTTAATGCCAGATTTAAGAAATTTTGAATAAATTCTTTTTGTGAGATATTTTGTCCCAATCGTAATGAACAGTGGGTTAATATGTCCCATCAGTGATCAAATTACTACATGCTGATATATGTTTTATAAATATACATGAAAAATTACGTTGTGTGTGGCAGAGTTTACATTTTGCAATATTCATACTGCATATTACAACAAATTTCAGGGTTTTTTTTGGGGGGGGAGGGTAATATCCTAGACGATTGGGACATATTGTCCCAGGAGATTTCCAGGAAAAGGAAAAAGTTAAAAACTTTTAAACTTTAAACTCATACTACAGGTCTTTTAGTATGTCAATATTAAAATACTACAGGGTTCGTACGCATTTCTTCACATGGAAATTAAGTACTTTTAAGGACCATTACTGAAAAAAATTAAGGACCTATGAACAAATAGCAAATTAATAAATTCAATTAAAATATTATCTGTGCTTGAACTTCACTTTTGTAATACCACGCAAAAAACAGAATAGATCCGTAAGTAGGATGCATTATTATTAAACATAACTTAATTAACATAATTATTAATTAGTTTAAGCATAAAATATACTTTATGAAATTTATCAAACAGCATTAAATATTTTAGACTTACAATAGTTCAGTATATTTGAAAGAACAAAAGTAACATTTTATTTACATTTTACTAATAGTTAGTTTCATGTTAATTTTTTTTATGTCTCATTACTTGCTCAATCTAGAGGTTTAGTAAATAGCAGGTAGATTTTATGTCAAGCATCATAGTTTAAAATGAGAAGTAAAATCATAATCAGAATGATTCATAACAAAAGACTGGCTGTTGTCACCGCTCCTGCTTGCCTAGAGAGAGACCTGCTGATCAGAACAAACTTGTAGGCACAGTTAGTAAGTTTTGAAAGTTAGCTGAGCTATGTCTGACGCTGTTAGTGTCATAGCTTCGTGTAGAGTTGCAGGAGTTGTAACTCGGTTACCATACTTGGTACTTACGTATAAATGCAACCAGGCCAAAATTCACATAAATCGCCAAATTTGGCAACCCTACGTATGTGAAAATAGACGAAAGTTTATTTGTAAAAAGAAAAAATAACACTGGGCATGTACTACCACAGCATGGGTTTGGCGGAATTTGCGAGAAAAAGAAAGAGACTTTTTTGGTTACAGTACCTACAGAAGCGCGTTACACTCATGGAAAAAATTTGCGAAAATATCAAGGAAGGAAGCATCATTTATTCGGATTGCTGGAACGGATACAATAAAAGCGAGTTCGAAAAATGCTAAGATTTCTGCAGGAACTGTTAATCACAAAAATAACTTTGTGGATCCCAAAAGGGCATTCACACACAACATGTAGAGCGCATGTGGAGCTCAGCCAAATGCGCAACAAAAAAAACAGAGAGGAACAGCCGTCATCATCTGACTCATACCTTATCGAATTTATATGGCGCCAAGCTCAAGCTGTTAATGGCGAAGACGGTTTTCAATCAGTGCAAAAGCAATAGCCAAAAGATTTCCGCCGAAAAAATAATTCTGCAACTTATTCAAATTCGAAAACGGAAGGGTTTAATTGCTATTTCAAAACAAAATAATATAAAAAAATGTATTAAAATTATCTGTAATTAATAAATACATTTTCTTTCTATTCATACTTTTTTACTCAAACTTACAAATCGTGCCAACCTGGTTGCGATAATACGTAAGTACCATATACTTTAAGGTTCTATTAAGCCACTAAAGCACTAGAGGTGATAAGTTGCTTTTTATTTTAAATTTCAATAGATGCGAAGAATAAGTTTTACATGAATTTTTATATTTTTGTGTTCAAGTATCATAAATATTTTACAACTTACAAATATAAACGGACATATTGAAAGAAGATAAGTTACATTTAGTTAAGTTTACTAACAGCTTTTTATTTTTATGTCTAATTTGTCACATACTTTTCAGTCTAGAGTTTAGTTAATAGTAAATTTTATGTCAAGCAGCATAGGTTAAAAAGAGCATTAAAAATCATAATCAGCATGATTCATAACAAAAGATTGGCTGTTGTCACTGCTGCTCCTACCTAGAGAGAGACCTGATCAGAACAAAACTGAGAGGCCTACGTGGGCACGGTTAGCTAGTTTTGAAAGTTAGTGGGCTCTGTTGTTGCGGTTAGTGTCATAGCTCTGTGTAGAGTCAGGGGTTGTAACCAAGTTAATATACTTTAAGGTTCCAGTAAGCCACTAAAGCACCAGAGGTGACACTAAGTTGCATTTATATTATTTTAGGTCTCACTAGATACTAAGAATACGTTTTACATGAATTTTTACATTTTTGTGTTTAAACCTTGTGTCATGCTAAGGAATAATGAAAGGCAATAACCCACTTCATTATGCAGAGATAATTTTTAAGACTAAGCAATTAGTTATAAATTAAATTATGGTAGTTAGAAAAACCTTATTCAGTATGGATTTACATGATTACTATTAAATTTTATTTATTTTTTAACAATATTGTTAAAAGTCCCTATTAAAATCCCAATCTAATAAAATTTCACAATTTAAAATACATGCAATTTATGTCATGATTCTTAAACGATATTAGGATACATTAAAAGTTATTAAACATTTATGTTTTGTAGTAACAACACTCAAAATATTTATGCATCTTTTTAATTTGAAGCCTTTCCAGACATTTTGGCTTAATTCATATCAATTTTCTTCTCTTTAAACATCTTTCCTAACAATTAAAAATCTGTTTGAATGCACTTAATTTGGTAAAAGTTAAATAGTCCAAAAACTCCAGACAGACATGAAGCAAGTTATCGCTATGTCTCAAAGTAACTACAAAGTCAGATAAACATTTAAATAAGCCTCTTATTTAAAAAGAACTTAAAGGCATGTTCTTATGCTAACCAATTCAATTGCAATTTGTGGTCATGTAATTAAACAAGAACAATCAAATTCAAACAAAAAAATGTAGACTAGTGGTCAAAGACTAAACAATTTAATTTTAATTTAAGCTGGCTCAGTAACTCTATCGTCATAACAAATTCAAATGTCAGCAGCAATAATGCAAAGACAAAAAGTTGCAAATTATCAGAGCTGGCAGGAACTAATGCAACAAGCAAGCGGAGATTAAAAACACATTTCTGTCTTGCACACCAAAAACCTCAGTTTCAAAACTGCCTAAGCGATTTGCATTCTGGGGAGGAAATAGAAAGGGAATTATAAACAACTATAAACAACGGGGAATTTAATCATAATACATGTATATATATTGGAAAAAAAATAAAAACCCCCACCCCCACCCCCCAAAAATGAATTTTTCTCAAAATCACAGTTTAAATCAAAAAAAAAAAAAAAACAAAAAAAAAAAAAAAAAAACAAAAAACCAAAAACCAAAAAAAAAACACAAAAAAACAAAAAAAAAACCCAAAAAAGAATAGTTTCTTTCTCTGTATGTACTCAGTTCTCAGCTGAACTTTATTCTTTAGTAATGAACATCAGGGAAAAAATAGGAAATATTATGGTAAGGGCAGGTTACAGAGTTAGTGTAGATTTTTAGAAATTTAGTGACACACCGAGCAACAAAATGTAGACCTGGCAAAACTTTAGCAATTGACGCACTGGAAGCAGAATTTAGCAAGGCATGTCAGCATTTAGGAATCTTCAGAATAAGTTTAATATTCCATGTGATTGCACCAGTGGGCAACATGCTAGCGTCAGACCTGTATTGATGAGTTAAAAATATTAGATGAATTTTTAAACAGCTTTCATTTCTTGTTAATATTAAAAATTCCTTTCATAATGCCTGTCCATGTTTAAATTGAAGCATTTTAATATTTTTCACTTGTTTTGAAAAAGTAGAGCAAATAAAGGGAAGATAAAATTTTCAAAAATTTTTAAGACAGAAGTAAAAATTTCCGTCTACAGTCCAAGTGGAACGTCGGCGATTCCGGATTATCGATTTTTGGATTATAGCTCATCAGTTTAAATCTGGTCAATGGCATGAGAAATTTTAAAATTAAACTATGAAACGTAATTATAAAATAAATAGCAATATGATCAAATTCAATTACCAAACAATATTTTAAATATTTATTGTTTACTTTATTAAAATTCTTTCAACGCGCGGATGGTAAAGCATACCTTACGCTAATTAGAAAATGATCGTGATATTTATAATGATCATATCAAAGCCGAAAATGTTATAAGCACATCCCTGCCAAATTTATTGCGCGCCGCGAGTGAGAGCCAGCGTGAAATTGAAACAGATTCGGAACGGTTAGATAAAAAAAGGATATGCTTTTATCATTTTGTAGCAATTGTTTTTTGTTTGATGGACATCGAAACATACTTTCGTTTTCTAATCCTTTGGGATCTTAGCATCGGAAATTCTTTTGACATAATCGAAAGTTTCAAGCTTACTTTTAGGGAAAATTGCTCTACAGTCGCAAAAAATAATAAGCCGGATCCAATTCGAAGATTAAGGAACAAGGCAATAATCAACATTAACTGAAATATAATTAGATAATTTTGTTTATACCGTCCGTTATACATTAAAC